GGACATACTTATCAATTGAATTATAGTAACCTTTAACCAGTCATGGTTAAAAGTCTTTGAACATGTAAACTGAAAAAGGGACAATTTGATAACTATTGGGCTGTCGGGAAAGTCATGGCTTTTTTTTATGTTTTTCAATGCAAAAATGCGTCATGACTTTCCCGACGACCCAGTATGTCAGACACAAAAAGTAATCCGAGATGACATTTCAAAGTGCCAGGTTTTAAAGTCTGTATTCTATTTATTAAAAGGTATTTTAGACTTGTGGAGCCTTAGTGGTTATGATACCAATTTAAATTCCATTATATTTACAATTACATTATAATATACAAATTATATAAACCTTGACCCAATTCCTATTTGCATGTTATGTTAGGCTCTGCTTCTTTAGATTATACTAATCCAGGAAATGTCCAAAAGTTGTCTCATAATTTCATATGTGGTCGCTCATGGTCACATATGAGAAAGGCTTAACTTTAAGGTACTACCTTGAAAGGTGTTATGTACATTTTTTTGGTCAAGATTCAAAGACTCCCTTCTTTGAAGGAACAACATTAGGCATTTCCGTGAATGAATGAATGAATGGTTGCCTTCATAAAGCATATGAATTGACTTCTTACTGTATGCATTGTAATGTATAAAAACACTGTAAAACAGGGTTCATGGGCGTATCTTATCATTCATTTAATATCTACTGTATGTCACACATGGTGCTAGGTACTGGGAAGACACCCCCCCATCAAAAAAAAAACTGCCTAGTTTAAAGGTGCGAATCATTTTCAGAACAGATTAAAAAATTTACGATAGGGAATAGACTTTTTTTTTAATGCAACACCAGAAAATACGTTTAGAGAACATTTAAGAAAGAAACCCAAACTTCATAATTACATCTGATAAATTGGAGGCACTAAAATATAAATTCATTAAACCACCAGATAGGGATTACAAAGGACTCTTCTATAAATTACACAATATAAATATTATGTATATACTTGAGCTGAGTTGCCAGTTGCATGATGTGTGAGTTGAAGCATTGATCAGAGTAGGTGTGGTCAGATTGTAGTCTAGAGGAAAAAGTTGGCACAGACGGGAGAATTTTTTAGGAAGACAGAACACTGATGCTAAAGAGCAAAAGATTAAAAAAAAAAATGATGGGAAAAATCTGAGTATTACTGATCTTTGTATTCCTGGTTACTATAAATAACATGCTACAGATGGCAAGAACCCATTCTCTTCCATGGCTGATATATATATAATCACGAACTCTTTATCCATTCATCCATTAACCTTGTGTGGTTGTGTGTGCCCTCCTGTTGTAGTTGAGTCTTGGTTGCTGTTTGCATGACAATGGAAGGGATTGACTCTCAGGCTGATTGGTCGTGAGGACTGGTCATGACTACAGTGGAGGAGCTGCGGTGCGGGGGCTGGCCCTACAGATCAGGGTTTGCTTTAGCTGGGTTCTGGTTCCTGCCCAGTCTTCCCTTTGGGTGTGTCATCCTTGGAGGCGGCCGGGTGATGCTCTAGCCCAGTCTGAAGCTGGCCACTGGGGACTCCAAACCTGGGGACTCCTGGGAGGGGGGACTCGCCACAGGCCAAGTTCAGTCGCCATCTGTGCACTGTCCAGGACCAACTGGCTTGAGCCACAAAGCAATCCAGAGATTATCGCCACCTGTGCTGTGCCTGGAGGTGACTTGAGAGGCCAAGCTGCAAACCAAGGCTGGCTGTTGCTAGTACAGGGCTTGGAGCTGCTCAGCCAGAGGTGTAGGACATGCCAAAGCCAGGTGATGCTTGTTTGGGTTTTGTGAACCTTGGATGGTTTTAAGAAAGTCCACAGTATTAGCCAAGTCAGGCCATTTATACCAAAAAGCCACTGGAAGGGGCTTGGCTATGCCCAATTGTTGGATGGGGCGTGGCCTCAGGGAATCAGTAGGGTGGGGCATATGAATGGTGATAGCCAATTTGCTGGAGACTCAGATATCACGTCTGCATGCGTGTGTCTGCACGCAGGGAGTGGGAGGGCTCAACAAAGAAACAATGTCTTCCACCAGCTTCTCCATCCAGGAGAAAGCTGCCTCTTCAGCCCTCACCTTGAAGGTAAGCACTTCAGTGTCTCCTTGTATTTCCCTGGCACGTTTCCAGCTGCTGCCCCAGCAGTGGAACTTAGAGCGAGTGAGTCAGTCAGTGAATAAGTTTGTGTGCAAGCCCCTTAAGAGGAACACCTAGGACTGCAGCCACCTTCTGTCTCACTTAGCCACAATCTCTGCTGGCTTTGACAGGCAGAAGTTAAGGGGAATTTCTCTCCCTGGCACTAGAATCCTGGGCTGGGAGCCTGGTGTGGGGCCCCTTATTCTTCTGGGGGGATCTCCACTGCTGAGGTATCCCTACCAATATTTAATGGTCAGAAGCAGGTGTGAGATCAGCCTGTTCAGTGTCTCTGCCCCTTCTATTAGTCTCAGGTGGCTTCTGTATGTCTGTGATTGTAGGGCTTTGGTTCAGCTATACTTCAAGCGATTCTCAATAATGGTGGTTCTTGGTTTAGTTGTAATTGATCTGGTCCTGAGAGGAGGTGAGCACCTGCTTTGCCATCGTGACTGGAAATTCCCACTTTTTAAATTTTAAATAATCGTTAATATAATGAAAGCTCTCATCCTGTATCATATTCAATATAATTTGTTACTAAAGCAAATTATGAGCATTAAAAAGAGGTTAATTATAGTGATACTAAATGAGTATAACAATTTTTAATGACAAAAAAGAAATGAAATAATAATGCTGTTGTTTTCCCATATAAACTCATGCTATTTGGATGCCTGTGCACCCAATGATCTATAATTGTTCTTTTTCCTGCCCAATGTTTACTTTTAATTGTTCCTGTTTTAAAATTGTTCTCTGCTGAGTCCCATAAAATTTCAGTTTTCATTTTTTTATTTTCTTGTATTTTTTAAACAATTGCAATCTATGCCTAATTCTTAAAATAAAGATCAAGTGATATCTCCCTTTTTTGCCTAACATATAAGTAAAGAACACATTTGTATAATAAAAGTCAATTTTAAAATATGCACTTTTATTTTTCTGTATAACACTTACAACATATAATATACTATATATTTCGCATTAAAAAAATTAACTGAGAATATAGGCTACCTAAGGACAGGGGTTCTCGTTTTGTTCACTCCTGTATCACTAGTACCTTGATCACTGTCTAGACTAGAGTGTAGAGATGTTCTGTGTATCGAGTGAATGAATGAATGAGTGAATGAACAAATAAACAGATTTCTTTAATGTATTAAGCAACTCAAGGGAAACTTCAAAGTACAACTTTAAATAATTTGTATTCCGTTATTCTTTCAATGTCAATCAAAATTTGACTCAGAGAAAATTCAATTTTATATTGATAATATCGTCTATTTAGAATGTAATTAATTTGTATGTTCACTTAATTGTGTAATATACAAGGCAAATACTATGTTTGTAAAAGATGCTTCATGAGGTTTTGAAAACAGCTGTACTATTCTTAAATTATTTATTCTATATATAATCTGTGTGCATGTGTATATACCAGCAGCACCCTGAGATACAGTTTCTTCACCAGGTTTAAATCATCATATAATAATCATAGCACTTAATTTAATAGGGTCATTGTCCTCCAAGTTACCCAGACCCCAAGCCTCAGAGTTTGCTTACATATCTCTTTTGTGAGTCTTCTCAAATACACACCAAGTTTGGTTAATTCTGTTGCCACTGATAAAATTATTTGTGCATTCATTTGAGAACTAGCATTGTTTTCTTTAAATTCTCCATAGAATTCATCTTTCTGTCTTTCCCATCATGTTTTTAGCTTTATTATAAGTTATTTTGCCTTATGTATTAGTCGGGTATGTACATCTCTGTTTTTCTACACAAAATTGGTGTGTGTGTGTGTGTGTGTGTGTGTTTTGCTGGGCATTTACATCCTCTTATGTAAAGTAGGTGTTTACCCAGTACCCAGTACTAAGTTGAGTTTATACTTCATATCTGGGTCAGATAACTTTCATTAGTGGTTTATAATACCATTAGTTTTGAAAACAAAAATTGTTTCTGGGAACTTCTCAAGAACACTTTCTGATAATCTATTTGTTACTAAGCCTGGGAGGTCCTGGAAATTATTTTATTTTCCTAATATCCTGCAACATATTTTACCACTTTATTTTAAATCTTGGCATATGTTCCTTTTTTAATTTTCTTAGCAGGTTCACTCAGAGCTGGTAATGATAGATGTGACTGAATTCAGAATTGTTTCATATATTACTACAGAACTGGTGACTTAAAGGGGCAGTTCTAAGAAAGCAAAAGCCTTTCTACTTAAGGTTTTCAATTCAAACTTAATGGAGTTTTCTGTTTTGCTGTTCTAATGGAAAAATATTCTAAAATTGCCGTTTTATAAAAATATACATTCTAAAAGCAGTGTAGATTCACTATTAAAAAATGAAAATAGTATGTCTTCTTTATCTTTCTTTTACTTATATAGTCCCAATTAAAGTTTAAATCAATATTTTTTTTTTAAATGAAGGCAAGTTTCTGCTTCACTTTTAATTTAGCTTGAGATGAATTCCTGAGTAATTTCCCACAGGTTTAAAGGCCTTCGCACTGACCACTGTCTGCTTTTGGTTCTTGTGAGAAGACAGTCAGTTTAGGACCTAAGCTGCTTATTGAGTAGGATGGCCTCTGGTTTCTTAAGTGGTAGAATCTGTGTGACTAAGAGAAAAAATAGTGATATTTCCCCTTTGCATGAATTTAAAATTTCACATGCAAAGTTTTGCAGTTATTTATGTTTTGTAAATGATTTTCCTCATATATCATGCCATTTAAAGTGCTAAAAGTATTTCTTTTGAAAGTCTGTTTAATTGTGATACAAAAATTGTGGATAGCTTTTACCGAATTAACACTTGACTATTCCCCCCAAAGATATTTTTTGAAATTATTCATTTTGCCTGATAATGCCATGTGCAATTTCTTTTTAGGGAGATAGTTCCTATGTGAAAGATCGCTGGTGTGTTTTTGATGGATTTATGGTCTTTTGCCTTTGGGTTTCATTGGTGTTGCAGGTAATTAAAAACTTTTAAATTATAAGGGAGTATTTTCCAAAATGGGGATTATTTTGCATTGAAAATCTAAATAGAAATATTAAAGAATATCGGTATATATAAAATGTTATTGCATAATTCTCTACATCCTGTTATTTTAAATGTTTATTAATAAACAAGTGTAACATTTTAACCATTGTCATTCACATTTGTGAATTATTTCTCAATCAGAAATAAAAATCAATATGATAGGAAATTGTTTCTTGTTGAACAGATATAAAAAATATATTCATTGAAGTAAATGTAAGAACATTGGGTGAGATTTCTGTATTTATAGAATAAAAATATTGAATTTAAAAATGAAAGTTCCAGTCTTTTATGTCACTGAACCCTTACTAAAAAGAGCTAAAAATACATAGAGATATATTGAGATACATATTTGTCAACATAAAATACTATATTGCAAATAGAAAATACCTTTCTATGAGAAATGGGGAATGTGTATTAAAAAGGTGTAAAGGGGGAATTTCATTGGAAAATGGTAGAATGCATTCCTATGCATTCAGTCAGGTAATTTTGCATTTAATTCAACTAAAGTTACTATATTATTCATTTAGAAATTCAGAATAAAAAAATTTACGCTCCATCCTACAAACTCACGATAGAGGTTATTTTTTGTTTGTTTGGTTTTTTTTGTTTTTTAGCTGAGCCATCCTGCCACCTGTTGGCTGCTCAGCAGCTGCTCAGCTTGGGCCAGGACTCGAACCTCTGTTGCTCAGAGCTCAAACTCGAGCGAGCTCTTAACCAACTGAGCCACTCAGCCGGCCTAGGATAGAGCTTATTGATAAGCTATCTTTATTTTGATTAAGCTCACCTCTCCAACAGTCTAATTTATCCTGCATATTAATGTGTCCTTTTGCATTTAATAAGTATTGTATGGTTGACAAACATTTTCTAATTATTGTTTTGCCTCATAGTAAATGGTACAATTCTATTTTCATGTTTTTTCATATTTTAACCCTTTCTCCATTACTTCATTTTTTGATATTCAAAAAGTTCCACCAAAGAACATCATTAGTGAGGACAACTTAGCACACTTATTGTGTATTTTAAGTTGACACTTGTTTCTCTAATAAAAACTGTGCCTTGATGAATTATACAGGAAATGAACAATATTAATGGCACTTTCATTAGTTTATGTATTTGTTTCTCTTAAGAGAGCTCTGACTTCAAAATATACTCAAAAGAAGGTTGATTTCAGTAGAAAATGATGTAGGGCAAAGTTCAGAGTGCAGAATGCACTTCCTGAAGCTATCTGTATGTACCATGACTACAAGCAATGCTAAGGGCAAGTCTAAACTTGTTTACTCACCTCTAAATTTATAGGTATTTGAAATTGCTGATATCGTTGATCAGATGTCACCTTGGGGCATGTTGCGGATCCCAAGGCCACTAATTATGATCCGAGCATTCCGAATTTATTTCCGATTTGAACTTCCAAGGACCAGAATTACAAATATTTTAAAGTAAGCACTGCTTTTACATATGTTAAGGGGGAAAGTTTATGACTTTTTTAAAGTTTTACTTATGTTACCTATTTTTTTCCCCTAGGCGATCAGGAGAACAAATATGGAGTGTTTCAATTTTCCTACTTTTCTTTCTACTTCTTTATGGAATTTTAGGAGTACAGATGTTTGGAACATTTACCTATCACTGTGTAGTAAATGATACGAAGCCAGGGTAAGTTTATTCACTAATTGCATTTTAATCTAGGTGATTAACAGAATGTTTCTGCAATTCTCATGAGAAAAATCTCTGTGTCTAATTTTTTTGTAAAGTATTTATGTACGTTCTGTTCCATATTCTCTGCTCTGTCAAAATTGTTTTGTCCAATTCTTTTAAGAGAAGTATTCAAGAAAACCCAGACTGAAAAATGTAACCCTGTGGAAAATTAGATTAAGCAAATTCAAAGTGTTCACTTAGAAATTTTCCTCAGAATGGCAGAATGGAGAGTGTGCTAACTTAATACCATCAGAGTAAAATAAGATGAGAATGGAAAATGGCATAACTACTTCTAAAAACAATTGGACAGATTCTTGAAAAGTTCAACAGATCCTACCATATATCCCATTCATTCAAGGTATTCAACCAAGAGAAATGAACACATGTCCATATAAAGACGTATACATAGTGACTTTATTTGCAGTAGCCCAAAACAGAATAACCAAAATTTCTGTCAATAGGTAAATGTATCAACAAATTGTGGTATATCCATATAGTGAATACTATTTAACAGTAAGAAAGTATGAGATATTAATATAAACAATATCTTGGATGAATCTCAAAATAATTATTCTAACTGAGTGAAGCCAGATGAAAAAGATTTCATGTTATAATGATTCCAATTATATAAAATTCTAGAAAATGCAATCTTATCGATAATAACAGAAAGGAAATCAGTGGTTGCCTGCAGATAAGGGTTGGGGTAGGAATAAGGGATTACCGAAGGGCACAAGGAAACCTTTCGGGTTGATTGATATGTTCATTATCTTGATTGTGGTTCTGTACATACATTATAATTTATCAAACTGTACTTTTTAATGTGTGCAGTTTATTGCATGTTAAGCATACCTTCCTAAAACTGTTTAGAAATGCTTAGGTGTAAAGTAGAAATCTAATTTTCTTTATTTGGTTGGTCATTTGTCCTGGTACCACTTATCGTGTGCTATTACCCTCTGAACTTGATGCTACTTTCTCATTTACCAATATTTGTATCTGTACCTGTGGTCTCTACTGTGCTTGATTGATCTATTTGACTGTCCCTTTGCCAATATCACACTCTGGAACGCATGTAAGTTATGCATTTGGTCACCATTTCCAGTCCGCAGCCTTACACAGGCCCAGGACGCTGTCTTCTGTCTCATGTGCCATTAAAACCCAGGGCTCTTGGATACTGAATAATTAGCCCCCATTCGTACCACTGTTTTGTCAACTCATGTACTTCCCTCTCCCCAGCTTTTAGGTCCCTCATAGGTTTTGACATTTTGGGATGTGTTTTTCTTTCTTGCGAGCCTAGATAGGCATTTACAAATGTTATTGTTTATCCAGCAGCTCTAGTTGTTTGCAGTGGAAGGAGTGGAATGTAATGTAGCCCCTCTTGCCAGAACTAGCACGCTGGCACTCATAGCTATTTTCTCCCCTCTGTTTTCCTCACGACACTGGGAGGTCTATGAGGACACATATGGGAAAGAGTGGAGAATGTTCACCTCCTTATCTCCAGGGCCTACTATCCTAGCGCAGAGGAAGTACTTAGTACCTATTTCTGGAAGGCATGGTTGGAGATGTATTATTATCTTTAGACAGATAATAGCATTATGACACATTGATAAGGAAGAAGACATTTATAAAAAGTAACAGAAAGAAAGGCAACTTGCTAAAAGGACAAGGGAGAAATAGTTAAAATATGGAAAAACAATATTAAAATTGCAAGAAAGCAGTGGATTGGTACAAACACAGGGCAGGAAAGTTGAAGGAAGTGGTGAGTAAGGGAGTTGACAGTGTGGGTGACAGAAGAGACAAATGCATGAAGGAAACCTGTAGGCAGGGTTTTTTGTTTTTTTTAAGTGTAGGTAGGCTGTAGAATATGTCTAGATTTTTCCATGAATGAATATGAAGATGGAAAAAGATGTTATGTGGGTGGGAGACAATAGATAATAGAGGTGAAGAACAGAGTTCCTGGGTAAAAGACAACTGTGTCATAGGCTGGTTTAAAGTTACCATTTTATAAAAAACCAATGGAATACGAGGATTCTAAAGCTTGTTAACACAACTACAAGATCAGAAATCATGCTGGCAAGCTACACTTTGACACATAACATATAATACAAATTGGGAAGACTCGTCTGCATACCTTCTGAACCCACGGCCCTTGAATCACTTCAGTAAGTCCTCTTCACCAGCTCCATACTGTGCTCAGTACGAAGAAATAAAAGTCCTTGAAAAAAATTTTAAAAGACCTCTTATGTTCTGAACATTAGCTCCAGCTCATTACTTTATCCTAAAAACTGCAGTTTACTTTGAAAATTTTCATAAATGTTAGCTGAAATTTTAGACTTAACAGTTATAGGGGGATGACTGCATTTTCTTTCTCATATTTGTAAAATCTGCCCAATAGCATTATATACATACATGTGTATCTTCTCTTTGTGTGATTCTTAATTTACTATTTGAGAAGAAAAGGCATAACTAGCCACATGATAGTAATGTTGCTCATAAAAACAATTTTTGTAAGTTTGATGATTTTTTTCAAGACCAGTCATTTATACCATTTTCTTTGAATTTTTAGTTCAATATTAACTTAGTTTTGAAGTCCTACTCATAAGCAGTCATTGTTGATGCCATTTTACTATTATTTCCGGCTCAGATATTAATTTACCTTATTTTTTATAGACTCGAAAAAAGTCTAAAGTCAAAACAAAACACATAAAAATCCCGATTAAAAATTTTTCCAACTTTTTTGGGTTTTCGGTGTTGCTTCTTAACTAGGAAGTTCTCATAAATGTCTCTGAGTCAGATGTTAAGCTACAGTACTGGTGATTCTGTTTCCAGCAGTCCGTGTTGCCAGTGCTGTCGTGACCTCATTTCTCTTAGTTGTTGTCTTTTAATGACGGTGCCAATTTCTGCTTAATTGATTTGCATGAACTATACCCTCATAATGGGAGAATTTTGAAGCAGAAATGTGTCTGTTTGGAAACCTGTCTATCCTGAGTTTCATGGCTGACCTCTGGAATTGATTATGTTTAATCTGTGAGGCAAACGGTATAAATTAAAAAACAAAACAAAAAACCCTCAATACATGCAGTTTTGCTTTTAAATGGAGCATATTTCTTTTAAGGCAGATAGAAGAGAATCTTAGCATTACTAGTAAATAGCATTACTAGTAAAGCTTTAGGTTCTTCTCCAATAATGAATGGTGACCGAAGGCAATTATGGAACAAGTAATAAGATTTGACAAAGCAAAACAATTCATAAGCTACAGCTGAGAAGAGCAATGGCCCATGCTAGAAACAGGTGTGGCAAAATGCCAACTGTGATGGCAAAAGTCTCCCTGAAGCTAAAAGACGAATGTGTAAAATGAGCTGATAGGTGAAACAGAAAAGATGAAGACTTACTTGACACCTTATTATCGTTCCTGAGAAAGGAGAGAAATTTATTCATGGCTTAGTATCAAATAATAAAATCTTATTCCCAAGAGTGAGATAATGAGAAAAACTTGAAGGTAAGTAAATGTTTACTACACAAAAGTATATAATATATTTTTAAAAGTATATAGTATAGTTTTATATGACACTTTTTAGTATAGTATATATATAAAGGTTTATAGTACAAGGGTCGGCAAACTTTTGAAACGGAACATACCCAAAGAGCTGCCCTGGCTTGCGAGCTGCAGTTTGCCGACCCCTGGTTTAGTCTATAGATGCAGGATTCAACTAGGAGTTCCAGTAAATATTTGTGATGTCTGGACCATTTGTTTTAAGACCCAGAAATATAGGAGCACACATCACAGATGCCCAGGACAACCCTGGTGCATCCCTGTTGCTTCAGAATAATTACTGATAGGTTCCTTTTGCATCTCAGGAGAGTCTCAGTATGGACAAAACATTCTATGGTTACCCGCCCAGGAGCAAATATGAAGTTGGATTTTGGGCAGCTTTTTTACTGGTTCAAATAAAATATAAGTTTATTCTTTAGGATACTTGGAAAATAAGTGAATTATTGTCTTATAAATTATGTTCACAAAATAATGAGGGTTTTTTTAATGGAAATGTCAGAAGAATTAAAAATAGAAACATAGTGGAGCTTAGACTATTAACTTTTAATTTCTGTGGACTTTATCAAGAAAGAATTTTGTAGACTATGTAAAATCTTAAGTTCCTCAAATTCACACAAAGGTCTGTGAAATATTGATTCATATTTAAACTTCCTTTGAAAGGATGAAGAGCAACTGCTACATTTAACCTACAGGATTCAGATAGAGATGTCTGAACATGTTTGAATAAATGCATATTAGAAGCATCTTAGATATTTAAATATGAAATGATAATGCTCTGATGATGCATGTAGGTTTCTAATTAAATTAATAGCTGCATTTGTGGAGCACCTATTATATCTCAGATATTTTGCTTATATAACTAATTGTTAGAACACTCTGAAGTGAATTATTTCCCTCATTTTGCAGATGAAGACACAGTCCCAAAGAGGTTAAATAATTCGTCCACATGCTAAGTCAGAGGCATAGATTTCAACTCAAATCTAATTTCCGAGCCCATGCGTGTTCCACTATTTGAGAAACGTCTGTATTATAATCCCACATTCATAAGCCTATATACACATACAGATCCACATGTATATACATAACACTTTGTAATATGTATCATTGAGAAAAATTAATGTCTGTATTACATCTGGTTTCTATCTTTATGTAGATGCTATGGTCCAGGAGATTCTATCTCATCTGAATCTAAAGAATAATGATTCGTAATATATTTGTAGTTTAAAATGGCTGTGCACATCCGTGTCAAAGATGTGGGCCACTTGAGCCACCGGTTAAATTCACTTTCAATATGATAATTTAAAAAAATTAAATATAAGAAAATATTTCAGAATAAATCAGATTCCCATGTGAAAATTAATACCAGCATGAATTCCATCAGAATAGCAAAACTATTTGCTGGAGTCAT